GGAGGAGGAGGAGGAGGCGCCGCGCGCAAGGGCCGCCAGGGGGAGCGCCAGGGCCAGGAGCAAGCGGGGTCCTAGCGCCCGCCGGGTCTCCCTCGCTCCCACACGTACGCAACACACAAACACACACACACACATACGCAACACATACGTCCTTTCTCCCTCTCCCTCCCTCTCTCTCTCTATGACACATGCCTCTCATGCATGGGTAAACAGTTCTCTCTCACATATACACACCTTGTTTCTCTCATACAAACCTCTGCCTCTCACACACTTCTCTCTTACACACACACACCTCTGTCGCTCTCACACACATAACTAAATATTTCTCCCTCACACACTCGCTCAGAGACTCACACACCTCTCTCTCTCACACACACAACAGAGCTTCTGTTTCTCACAACTTGTCTCTAAGGCACATACATAAACGTTTCTCTCTCACACACACATCCGCAGAAATATTCCTCTCCCTCTCACACACACACACACCTCTTACACACATAGCATAGCTTCTGTTTCTCTCACACAACCTCTCTAACACACATACACAAACACTTCTTTCTCATACACACATCTCTCACACACACCTTGTTCCTCTCACATACCTAAACACTTTTCTCTCACACACACACACGCACACATCCATTCAAACACCTTTCCCTGTCACACCCACACACACCTGTCACTCTCACACACATAAATAAATATTTCTCCCTCACACACACACACACTCAGAGACTCACACACCTGTCTCACACACACATAGCACAGTTTCTGTTTCTCTCTCACAACCTGTCTCTAACACACATACACAAACACTTCTCTCTTACACACATACATAGATATTTCTCTCACACAGACATTCTCACAGACACACACACACACACTTTTCTCATACACATAACACAGCTTCTGTTTCTCTCTCACACACATATTCCTAAACACTTCTCTTACACACACTTCTCTCAAAAACACACATCTCTGTCACGCACATAATGCAGCTTCAGTTTCTCTCACATACACACCTGTCCCTCTCAGTTACACAAACATTTCTCTCTTTCATACACACACACACACCTCTCACACACATAACACACCTTGTTTCTCTCATACCTGCATACCTAAACACTTCTGTCACACACATACACACAAGCACTTCTCTCAGGGACACACACCTCTCTCACACACACAATACTTCTGTTTCTCTCACACAACCTCTGTCTCTCACATACATACATATCTAAAAACTTATCTCTCTCACACACATCCATACAAACACTTTTCTCTCTTGTGCACACACACCTTTGTCTCTCTCGCACACATACATAGATATTTCTGTCACAGACACACACACTCCTCTCTCACACACACAACACACCTTCTGTTTCTCTCTCACATACACCTCTGTCTCTCGTACACATACTTAAACACTTATCTCACATAATCGCTTCTGTCTCACGCACACAATTCTCTCAGACGCACCCCTCTCACAAACATAACACACTTTCTGTTTCTCTCACATCCACACCACTGATCTTTTCATACACACAACTATACAAACACCTCTCTCATACATGCACTCTTCTCTCATAGACACACACACACACACCTCTCAGACACATAACACCTTCTGTTTCTCTCACAAAACCTTTGTCTGTATGTGTGTGTTGTGTTGTGTGCCTTCTAGTCATTTCCAACTTATGGTGACCCTAAGGCAAACC